ATCGCGAGTGCACCGCGCGATGACGTGAAATCGCTGGATTTGACAGAATTCTTAAGATTCCTATGGTTTCCTATGATTTCAGCAAGAGAGCCCGGGCGGGAAATTTGTACAATTTTTTGTGAAAAAACATTGGGTTTTTGATGTTTTTATGTTGAAATGCTTGCAAACACACGGTGTTCGGTAGGATTCTGACATGAACGCGCGCGTGTGCTCTTTGTGATATTTTTTGCAATGGATTATCGCCGTGGACGACAGGACGTCCATGTCGAGAGGAAAAAATAAGAAAAATGTTGATTTTGTATTGTTTTTTACAGGTTAGGATGGGACCACCCGGATGCGGCCCCTATCTGCCGGCCTGAGGGGGGAGTAGGAGTATATTCCAATAAGGAATAAGGATAGGAGTAGGAGTAGGAGTCAAGCTAGCCAGCTCGAGCGAGTCAAGCATGGCATGCCCAGTCCCACCCGCCCTCCCACAACATAAGAAGCAAAGCTGGCACAACTGGGGGCCGAAGTCACACCGGCCAGCCGGTTTGGTACAGCTGATGCGGCCGCGATGGCGGTTGCCGACGGGAACTGGCGAGCGCGTGTTGAATGCCGCGCACGCATTGCCAGACGAGTCGAGAATGGCCCGGTACACCGCAGGAAGCCAGAAGGCCCCAACTTGTATTGTGTTTTTTTATAACGGGGGGGTTTGGATGGGCGGGCGCGGGGTGCGCGCCGCATCCCATTCCTGCCAAGCATCTTGCGACGTGGACGACAGGACGTCCATGCTGAGAGGAAAAACGTTGGTGCGCGGCGCCGAGGCGAGAGCGACATGTCACCCCTTCGCGCGGGGTGCGCGCCGCGTCCCATTCCTGCCACGCATTTTGCGACGTGACGACAGCACGACCATGTTGACGCGGGGTGTGCGCCGCGTCCCATTCCTGCCATGCATTTTGCGACGTGGACGACAGGACGTCCATGCGACGGTGCCAATGACGGCGACGACTCTAGAAGGATTTGAGCATGCGCTCGCGGCGACGCGCGCGCATGTCGCCCGCGTGGTATTTTTTGCACAGGATTCGCGGCCTGGGTGCATGACAGAGCATCGCGAGTGCACCGCGCGATGACGTGAAATCGCTGGATTTGACAGAATTCTTAAGATTCCCATGGTTTTCCTATGATTTCAGCAAGAGAGCCCGGGCGGGAAATTTGTACAATTTTTGTGAAAAGCATTGGGTTTTTGATGTTTTTATGTTGAAATGCTTGCAAACACACGGTGTTCGGTAGGATTCTGACATGAACGCGCGCGTGTGCTCTTTGTGGTATTTTTTGCAATGGATTATCGCCGTGGACGACAGGACGTCCATGTCGAGAGGAAAAAATAAGAAAATGTTGATTTTGTATTGTTTTTTACAGGTTCGGATGGGACCACCCGGATGGGGCCCCTATCTGCCGGCCTGAGGGGGGAGTAGGAGTATATTCTAATAAGGAATAAGGATAGGAGGAGGAGGAGGAGGAGGAGGAGGAGGAGGAGGAGGAGGAGGAGGAGGAGGAGGAGGAGGAGGAGGAGGAGGGAGGCGGAGGAGGAGGAGGAGGAGAGAGGAGGAGGAGGAGGAGGAGGAGGAGGAGGAGAAGGAGGAGGAGGGAGGGAGGGAGGGAGGGGAGGAGGAGGATGAGGAAGAGAAGGAGGAGGAGGAGGAAGAGAAAGAGAAGAGACGGAGAATGAAGAGGATGAGGAGGAGGAAGAAGAGAAGGAGGAGGGGGAGAAAGAGGAGGAGGAGGAAAAGGAAGAGGAGGAGGAAGAGAAGGAGGAGGAAGAGGAGGAGGAAGATGAGGAGGAGGAGGAGGAAAAGAAGGAGGAGGAAGAGGAGGCGGGGGAGGCGGAGGAGGAGGAGGAGGTGGAGGAACAAAAACCATTTAGTCAACGAGTTCCCGGTTTCTGGCTGCCGCGGCTCCCGTTTCCTGGCTGCCGGTTCCCTGTTCCAGGTTCCGGACTCCCGGTTCCCAATTCTGGCGGTGGACAACCCTCCCTTTAGCACACCTCCCCTTAGCGAAAACGGCCTGTGACCGAAACCGACGGGCCTGGACCCGCTAAAATGACGGCCGCGACGCCCCCTCGCGAACCGAAAACGGCCAAAGCCTTCATCGACGTGTCAGGGTAGGAGGTCTATCAATCTCCGACAAGTCCTGGTTCCTGGTCGGCTCCAGGTTTCCGGTTCTGGGTTCCAGGTTCCCCGAGGCCGCAGGCCGATCACTTTCTACTGCTTCGTGGAATACTACAGGTGACCGTTCATGCGTCAATCTCACGGACAGAGTTGAAGCGCACATTCGTCGCATAAGCAAGTTAACGATTTCAGTGATTCAAACACGAAGTAGTATACATCAAATGTTAGCAAGTATCTGATTCGTGAGTCCACACTTATGGCCCTCGTGTGTGTGCGTACTCTGGTGGCGCAAGCTATGTGGCACAGGCTGAAAGTGGTGCAATACACGATGAGTACAACATGTGGTGCAAGCTATACAATGCAAACTACGCAGTGCGATGCACGTGCCGAACATCACGCGGTGTAAGCTATGCAGCGTAAACTATGTGGCGCAAGCCACGCGGCGCAAACTACGTGGTGCCTTTGACTATCCTGCACCGCGCTCGGCACCTTCCCATGTTTTTTGATAACAGCCCACCCACCCACCCGCAGCTGGGTTTGTAAAACCCATACGGCGGCGATTGCGATGAGTGCTTCGCGGCATTGGCTGGTGCATCTCTGCGGCCGCGCTGGCCCGCGCATGTTCGCGCGCACAACGGCCAGCTAGTTTAGCACAACGGACGCGGCCGCGGTGGCGCTGACCGCTTGGCACTTCCCAGCGGGCACTTCAGTGTAAGTCGGTGACTTGGACGGGCGCGGAATCATGGCGACGCCGACAACTGTAGACACGAGTATGAGAGTAGCGATGGTGACGAAGGTGGCGATGACGACGGCAAGGCCAATGACGGCGCCGATGCTGATCACACCGACGACGATAACGGCGTCTTCGCTTCGCTTCGGTGATGAGTGAAGAGTGTTTTGGAAGAGGTTCGACATGCGCGCGCGGCCGACGCGCGAGAATATCCGCATAGAATTATTAGACACGGCCGTGCCCCCCAGCACGCGCGCAAGGGCGTTCGACTGATTTCGGCATGCGGGGCGGGAGGCCCTATTGGCAGAATTTAATGAACATGTTGCGAAGCCGATGGGTGTCTTAAGACTTCGCAAGAGCGCGACCGCAGGCTTGTTTGAAAGCTGATGTTGACCATGTGTTTGTTATATGTTTGTTGGGCACTCGGTGTTGAAATCCTTACGGGACGGAGAGGTTGCTGACTGATTTCGGCATGCGCGCGCGACGACGCGCGCGCGTGCACTTCGCCCACTGTTGTGCACAGGATTATTGCGACAGCACGCGCGCAGGGGCGTTCGAGCGATCTAGACATGCGCGCGCAAAGCCCGTTTGGCCGCATGTTATGAAAGTGTTGAGAAACCTATAGTTTGTCCCACCCATCCTGTGGTGTTGGGTAATCGTTTTGAAGGGACATCGCCCCGCGTTCCTCCTTTCTTCCTCCCCCTCCTTCCTCCTCCCTCCCTCCTCCCATCATCATCAATATCATCATCGTCATCGTGATCGTCGCCATCATCATCATCATCATCATCATCGTCAGCAGCATCATCATCATCATCATAATCAGCATCAGCATCAGCATCATCATCATCATCATCATCCTCATCCCCATCCTCATCCTCAACATCATCATGGCCGTCATCATCATCATCATCAGCATCATCACCATCATCATCATCGCCGTCATCATCATCATCATCAGCAGCAGCAGCAGCAACATCATGACCATCAACATCACCATAATCATCCCCATCATCATGGCCGTCATCATCACCATCATCGTCAGTATCACCATCATCGTTATCGGCTTCGTCACACCCCTCACACGCTTCGTGGCCCTATGGGAGCTCCACCTCAGGTCCCAGTGGCGCAGTCTGCATGGCGACCCCGCCCTAGTTCGGCACAACCCTCAAACGGTTCGCGGCCCCGTAGGGAGCTCCACCCAAGGTCCCAGTGGCGCAGTCCGCATGGCGGCGCCGCCCCATGTTGGCACACCACTCACACGTTTCGTGGCCCCATGGGTAGCTCAACCTAAGGTCCCAGTAGCGCAGTCCGCATGGGGGCACCAGCATATTTTGGCACACTCCTCACACGCTTGGTGGCCCCATAGGGAGCTCCACCTAAGGTCCCAGTGGCGCAGTCCGCATGGCGGCCCCGCGCTAGTTTGGCACACCCCTCGAACGTTTCCGGCCCCGAAGGGAGCTCTACCCAAGGTCCCAGTGGCGCAGTCCGCATGGGGGCACCGCCCCATTTTGGCACACCACTCACACGTTTCGTGGCCCCATAGGTAGCTCCACCTAAGGTCCCAGTGGCGCAGTCCGCATGGCGGCGCCTTCATATTTTGGCACACTCCTCACATGGTTGGGCCCTTCGCCAGACTAATTCAAGTAGCAAAAATTCGCAAGAGCGCGCGCGCAAGCTTTTTTTTGAAATTCGATGTTGCGAAGCCATGTGTTTTTTACATTCGATTGACAAGCGATGCTTGACATCCTTACGAAACCAAGAGGTGTTGGAAGTATTTCGGCATGCGAGCGCGACGACGCGCGCGTGAATTTCGTCAGATGTTTTGTAAGAGGTTCTCCAACAACTGATAATGGTTGATAAAAAGGTGCGCGCGTTTTCCGGGGGATGGTGGACCTGTAGCCTAAACTAGTCTCGTGCACATCAAGTCCAACTCATAGCATTTCTCAACATTGGCCCGGGCATCATGACTTGCGTCTGCGATGATCTACTCGAACTGGTCTCCGCATCCGCACAATATATCTGAGAACTACATTGGGGCTATCTTGAGGCGGACAGGAGGGAGGGCAGCAAGATACAGTGAGAGGACGGCGAAGGCAGCATGAACCAATTGGCAAGCAAGCGACGTCCTGCTCGCCGTATCCGATCGCAGTGACCGCATGGTCGATGACTGCGTCCTAGTGGTACGCTGCCCACGGTCACTCCTCACTCCTGGTCCGCGTCCTCTTCCTCCCGGCTGCTCCTCCTCCTCCTCCTCCCTCTTCCCTGATCCTCCCTAATATCCTCCTCATTCCCCTCTCCCTCTCCCTCCTCCTTCTCCCCCCCCCTCTGCCTCCCCATCTGACTGTCCTCTTCCTTGCTCCTCTTCCACCCTCCCCCATCTCATCTTCGGCCTCCGCCCACGCCTTGTCCTCCTGCCAACTTTTCCGACCTCATGACCCACTCCCCTCGCCGCTCCCCCTTCCCTAATGCCGTTCTTGCTCCTCCTCCTCCTCCTCCTCCTCCTCCTCCTCTCCTCCTCCCCCTCCTCCTCCTCCTCCTCCTCCTCCTCCTCCTCCTCCTCCTCCTCCTCCTCCTCCTCCTCCTCCTCCTCCTCCTCTTCCACCACCACCACCTCCTACCCCTCCTCAAAGCGCCCTCTGGACCGCCCCCTGGACCCTGGTGCGAGGGCCAGCCTCAGCGTGCCTTCCCACCTCGGAGAGGCTGGGGTGGAAACGGCCTTCGTGGCACACCTGTCAGCTTCACACGGGGGAGATGATCGACACGAGACGTGCGCCCCCCCGGCCCAATCAGGTGCTTCACAAAGTTTGGTCTCGAGGATGTGGCGCTAACTGGCTGGGCGGCCAAGCGCGAGCTTCCCGCTCGTAAGCCCTTCCTCGAGCCGTTCCGAGCCGCGCTACGCTCAACAGGCCATGATGGCATTCCGTGAAGGCGAGCTCTGAATCCAGGGCAAGGTTTGGTGAGCTGGCCAATGTGAGTATCGGAGTTGCCAGCGTTGCAAACAGGCAGTACGAAATCAGCACCACCGATTCTGCAAGTGCCCCGCTTCCAATGCCCAGGGGGAAAGAAGCGGGAAATAGTTCCCCCAATCGGGGTCCGTGGGCTCAAGGCTGTTAGCTGGGTGTTTGCTCTGTGGACCCCCAGGGGCAGGTGATCAAAGCCATGCACGATACGGGCCTGGCGGCCCACACAAACCGAAAGTGTACTTAGGGCCGAACTGCACGACTGAGAGTAGGGATAGATACCTCCACGGTTGTCCGTGGCTTCAGATGGGGGTCCTCCTGGTGCTGTCAGCCGAGCCGCCTCCGCGCAGACTTGCGGCAACAAATGTTGAGTGCGACTCGGAATTTCTTCCCTGGGGAGGGGGACGTGGTGGCTGTCAAAGTGCAGGAGCTCCAAATGCCGAGTTGAACAGCTCGAGGGGCTGCATCGTTGCAATTTCATGGGAAGCGGGAAGACAATATGTAAGCAAACCATCGCGCTAGACACTGCCTGGGCCGAACGTTTGGCTGAGGCAAGTGCATGCATGAGCAATGACAACGACAAATTCGCACCTTTCATAATGCCACAGACCGACAAGCCACCCCACTGACCCTGGGCCCCAGAGCTCGAAGACGCGACACGATCCCCCGCATGGAACACGGGCACGTGGTCGAGTCGGCCAGGGTGGGCCCGGAGGTGCAGCACATGTGGCAAGCTCGCTCGCAGCTGCAGGCCGCAACTCCGACTCACCAGCCAGAATTGTCGCCCAGGCTGCACAGCCCATCGAAAGTGGAGGGAGGCGTCTCGCAGAGACCAGGCCCCACCACAGGGCCCTTGACGACGCAAACTCTCCCGAAATAATGTGCCAGATGCTTGAGGGGTGGCCCGTCAAGCCTCGGAATCACTACGCTAAGAATCGCAGGAAGAAACGGCTCGAACGGCGGCACCCAAATCTGGTCACCCGTTATCCTGGACAGTCCTGCCCTTGAACAGGGCACCAGACTTACGCTTCGTGGAAGCAGCTGGAGTTCCTGCGTTATCATGGACCCAGGGAGTCCAGGAGCAGGCCAGATGAGGGACCTCGGGGCAGCAGCAGCAGCGGCAGCAGCAGGACGGGGAGGGGGAGGGGACCGTGGCACGATAGGAGGTGAGGGCTTTAAGAACGGTACGTCGCGCACGTTGTGTGCGTGCGCCGCTTCGCCCTCAGTTCCTCCCACGCCCTCTGCGAATTCGGCCTTCAGGACTGCCCTCGCCCTCCCCCCCGATGGCGCCGCCGCTTCCCCCCTCCACTGATGAGCCTCCCGCCAGGTTGTCCTGTGGAGGGGGGCGGGGCTCTGCGTCGAGGGTGGTCCCGCTGGCGGCGCCTGGTCCCGCAAGCTCGGTTTGCTACTCAGGCATGGGTGTCCTGGTTTCGTGGGCATGGTCGCCCAAGCAACCAGGTGGCCGCGAATCGTTTGCCCTCCCCCATCGTCGTGGGAAATGTATTATCCTCCTCCTCCTTTTCTTCCTCCTCCTCCTCCGGACAATATGGTAGGAGCTACTGTTCCAAACCATCATGTGTTGGGTTCTCGTTTTGAATTTTGCGCAGCGCCCCGCGTCACATCCTCCTGCGTGCCTCTTCCCCTGCCTCCTCGTCCTCCTCCTCCCTCCTGTGCTTCTGCCCTCTGCACCAGTCAACCATGTCGAAACACACCTCACACGCTTCGTGGCCCCATAAGGAACCCCACCGAAGGTCCCAATTGGCTGCGCTCGCATGGCACCACCGCGCTCATTCCGGCACACCCCTCACACGCTTCGCGGGCCCAGAGGGAGCTACATCGAGGGCCCCAATGGTTGCGGTCGCACGGCGCCGCCGCATTGATCTCGGCACGCCCCTCACACGCTTCGCGGCCCCATAGGGAGCTCCACCCAAGGCCCCAATGGCTGCGCTCGCATAGCACCACCGCGCAAACTCTGGCACACGCTCAACCGTCTCCCAGAGCCTCAGTGGCTGCGTTCGCATGGCACCACCACGCCCATGTGGGCACACCCCTCACACGATTCGCGGTCCCACAGGGAACTCCACCGAGGGCCCTAGTGGCTGCGCTCGCATGGCACTACAGCACCCACTTCGGCACACCAATCACACGTGGTCGCACGCGCTCACCGCACCCTGTTCGGTGTATTCCCTACACGTGCCGCGGCCCCATGCCATAGGGAACTCCATCGACGATGATACTCGTAACTGCGTTACCCACAACTGCTAACATTTGGGTCTTCTGTCGGGCTAGCTTTCAATTGAGGAAAACGACGCTTACACCAAACAACTGCGGTGCAAATTCTCGCGCATTGTTTCGGGCATTGCGTTGCCTGGCACACCTGCTCATCCAGTCGGAACGCTATGAACGAACGCTTCCTCTCCAGCAGGTAACCGAATGTGGATACAGGCGAAATACAGTCGACAAAAAACAACTGGGCAGCGGACAGTACGAGCGTTATAACAGAAGCTATAGGTCGCCCCACGGCGAATCTAAATGCGTGGAGACAAACCAAAACCCAATCCTAGCCCGTGATGGTGCGAGACGAAAGCACAACTGATGTAAACGGAAATCGGGTATGAACGTGCACGGGCTTGCTAACGCGCGATACACGATTCTCAACTGCCGCAAATCACCAAGTAATGCAGAAATGGTTTACATCACCTGGAGTGCGCGTAGACGAGCATCGGGATCGCAACTGGTCCCGAGCTTGAACCTGCGCCAAAACGGCACACGATGATAGCCTGGAGATGGGTTGAGCTAGCGCTCCGTAGCAGGCGCTAGCCCGTGCCCGCTGCAAGACTTGGGTTGGTTGGTACCTCGCACGCGCATGGACATGCAGTCCCTGCTACCAGAGTTGGCGAGAACGTCCGCGAGATTCCCGCGTGTACCTGTTCACTTTGCTGTCTCCTCGTCGTACTTTTTCATGTGACCCAGAATTTGGCAAATCTCGATCTGTCTGAGTGTTCCTAGTCCTCGCCGGCTCGCAATGATAACGGGCACACTTGTATCGATCTTCAACGCAACACTGCTATCAACGGCGGAATATTTGAGAACGGCTGGCAACCCGAACGCTACATATCCACCCTTACCATTCGAGAGCACCCCGCTCGTCCAGATGATAACGCCACTAACCTCTGGGTCCATGTCCACCACTCTCTGACACGCAAACCTCGCGCAACAATTCCTCCACACGTTGATTCACGTGTCCTCTTACAACCAACATAATCGATGCCAGTCCACGCCGTTAACTCCTGAGTGCGCTCCCGGTACAAGTACTGATATCCACGCCTGCCGTGGTTCTTATGGTACTTACCCAGCTTCGCGAGGCTCGACCAAACCCTTCGGGTCGGAGCTGACATAGAGCGTGCGAGCTCCTCCACTGAACCTCTATATGTCTGAGCCGTTTTGTGGCCAAAAAAATGGCTCGAGCCACGAATGTCTGGAATTTCTGAACTTCGTGTTCTGGCAACGGATCCTCACCTTCTTGTCCTGAGGGCTGCGTTTCCACATGGCATATTACTGCGTATTGCTCGAGGCCTTACTTTCTGACTGATATCTCAGCGTGCCTCCGATCCGCCTCGCGTCATAGCCCATCCCGGCTCCACCCGGGAATTTGGTTGAGAATCCGGATGGACGTCAAATCTGTCGGTCCTGCTCCGAGTCGATCCCGGATCTGAACTCCGACTTTATTGGTTGACTTCTCCTTCGGACCAGCCAAGATACATGCCAGTCCCCAAGTAAGCGCCCTCGTATCCATGCAGTGCTAGCCAGATTCACCGTGTCATGCCTGAACGCACATGGGGACGCTTCCCCGCTGTCAAAGCCAACGTCACGTGCAAAATCTCCACAAAAGTCTGCGCCGTTGCTAGCGACGTCCCCAGTGCCGTACATTGACTGCACTACTGTTCCAGAGATGCCCAGTGCACGATTTTCAACGGATAACATGATGGAGATATTATTTTGGGATTTGGCGTGAACGTATTTCCGCTTAGCATATATAATCCATTTGAAACCTTTCTCGCGTTCCACTCTGTGATGTCTTATTGCCTCAAAGACTGCAATGGACAATCACAGTTTCTGAGTGTCCAACGGAGGGGTGACTGCAGATGTGTTCTTTTCTTTGCCGGGGCCCGCATTCAGGAGCGGCCACGGCACCCTCGCTGATATCAATACGCCTCGTACCTATAGGGGGTTTTGCGGGCAACAATACAACATTCCACCTCCTTCACTTTTTATGCACCTCGTGCTTCCTGAATTGCTCCATCTCCTCCCCCCGAGCTTTTTCCGCGAGTTCTGGATCGAGCTCGTCCCCAGAGATGTCCCAAACGAGCACTTGGCCATCTTCGCGATGAACTACACCGACGTCGCCCTTAGTCACTGGCCGCGCTTCATCAACACTCCCGCATGCCTCGCGTGCCCCTGGAGCCGCGAGTCCATTGGTGAGGTTGGATGTCCTGAGTAACGCGGCAGGCGAAGGCAGCGACTGTTTTGCGCACTCCTCCTCTGGATTCTGTCCTCCGCTCCTTCCCCCTGGTCTCCCCAACCTCTGTCCTTGAGTATCTGACAGGTGTCCATGTCTCGAATACCTCTACGTAGACCTGCACTCCACTCTGGCTTTGAACTTCTTGGAAGCATGCGAAGTGATGTGCAAAGTTTCCTTTCGGACCCAGATTAACGCGGGTCCATGTCCAGACTCGTTCGGTCCGTGCCCGACATCATCTACGTCTACGTCAGAGTTCGCCCGATTCAATCCTATTGACGTCGGGATCGCAGGTCCCGAATGAGAACCCAATTAACTCAACATGCCGTCGTTGGCTTTGACATTTCGCGCCGAGGGCTCTTCCGACGTAGGAAGTGTTTCTCATGAGCCGGATGGGTTTCTTGATGAACACCTCTTTCATTTGACGCCTGCTTCAAGATATAACAGGAAAAAACCATCGCATGCCTGCGTCTCGTCGCTCCTCAAAATGTTTTGCGTTGGCGACGCGGCCCAACTCGAGGCTGCCGAAGGGTGTTCGAAGAGAGACGTGTAGACCATACTTCTCTGTCTCACCAAATCCCAATGCAGACATGAAACGTTCATCCCATGACCACAAGCATCTCCCTCACTTTTCCGGAAAATGCACTTTCGAACTGAAGGCCTGCAGTCAGCTGGAGGCTCGAATGGTCCCCCATGCTCATCGCAAGTTGTAAGGTCCACGGCCGGCCCCGGCGCGGGCCGTTTCTTTCCGCCGTGCCAGCGACTCGGACTGGCAAGCAAGCCAAACAAGAGAGGCTCCTCTCAGCCGGTAGGCACAGACGTGCAGGAGGATGGCGAGGAGCTCTCGTCGGTCCGAAGGCGTAGGTAGGAGCATGAAGTGGGACGGCGCCGCGCGCAGATTGGGCTTACGCCCGCCCCTCCAGAGGAGGAACGGGCCGTCAGACCGCTCGACCCTTGAAGTAGGAAGGCGCATGAAGTGGATTGGGAGCTGGGAGTCCCATAATTAAGACCTACTTTCAACGACCGCTGGGTACTCCTCGTTGGTTGCGTCCTCGGACTGACGCGTGCTCCGTAGCTTGCCCTCTGAGAGCAATCCACTCGTGCGACGAGATGTCATGTCCATCCTATTCGTCATCGTGTCCCGCGACCTCCCCTTGCTCCTTCTCCCTCCTGCTCCACCTCCTCCTCCTCCTTCTCCTTCTCCTTCTTCGCCCCCTCCCGTTCCTCTTTCTCATCCGCTTCCTCCAACCCCTTCTTCTTACTGTCCCCGTCCTCCTCCTCCTCATCCTTCTCGATAATGCCTGGATACTGCCTTTCTCCTCCTCATCCTTCTCCTTCTCATCCTCCTCATCCTTCTCCTCATCTTCTTACTGTCCTCGTCCTCCTCCTCCTCCTCCTGCTCCTCCTCCTCGAACGTGCCCTTCTTTCCCTCCGCCCCAAGCCGCGGGGAGAGGGGCCCCGCTCTCTCGGTGCTCCTTGCCGCAGCCGTTGAAGATGCCGGACTCGTAGTCGAACCACTGTGGAGGAGGAGGGGGGGGGGAGGGAGAGGGGATGGGAAGGGGGGGCGGGGTGAGGAGGAGGAGTGTGGAGGAGGAGGAAGTAGGAGGGAGGAGGGGGGGGGGGTGAGGAGGAGGGGGGTGGAGGAGAGGGAAGAGGGGTGGACAAAAGAATGGACTCTGGATCCAGTGCAGGACTGGCGAGTTCCTTTGGGTACGCAGGTCACGCGTCTGTGATTTCAGTGAGCGAGTGGGCGAAGCGGGAGACGTGGGGAGGGAGGGAAGTCCGGAAGAATCAAGGAGAGAGGAGAGGAGAGGGCGAGGGGGAAGAGCGAGGGAAGGACGGGGGCAGGAGCTGAAATAGAAGACACGTGAGAGGAGGATGGTCAGGACAAAAGGAATCTGGGAATTATGCAGATTTGCTTCGCCGCGATGCCGCCCTGTTCAGCTTCGCACTTGCGGGGATACTGATCGGGGACTTGGGCCCACACAGCGACATACCGCACTGCGAGGTTGATGCGCAAAGAGGTCCCTTGGACACTCGGCCGTGGCCGCGGGCGAAACTAAACAGGCGGAGTCTAAGAGTGGCCCGCAACCAACCCAAGCAACCTGCAGCGCCCATCAAACCCACAATTTGACGGCGTACCGCGTGACGGACACGCTCGGCAACCAGTGAGAGAACGCCGGGCTTCGTCTTTCCATACGCCCGGATGCGCGCTTGATGGTGCCGTCGCGACGTCACCTGGTGGGTAGCATGTCTCGGCCTCTCTCCACGCGCAAAGACAGCAAGACGTGAGGATAGACGGCAAACAGCATGAGAGGGTAGCGCTGGAGGGGCGGTGGCAGCTAAGGGAACGCGCGTCACGGTCGAGGGAGCAAACCCGAAGGAAATGCAAGAGGGAAAGAGAGATGGGGGGTACAGGTTGGGGTCATCCGCCCTGCCCTCTCGTTCTCGCCCCTCTCCCTCTTCAGCGCTGCATGGGCACCGCTGCCCTGCCTCGGAGGAGGAGGAAACGAAGGTGAGAAACAGGAGGATGAGAAGGACGACGGTACGGATGTGGAGGCAGGGAACGAAGGAACGCTTGAGCGACCACCAGCGCGGTGAGCGAGGCCGTTGCCTCCATACACTGTAGTGCATATTGAGGCATGCATGCGAGACAGATAAAAAACGATGCTGGGGCGAGAAAGATGACGGTGGAGCAGCGGGGCAGCCCACGCCCTCCTTGTCCGCGGCGACTGATACCGCGACGGGGCCCTTCTCCGCGAGAGCGCGGGCCAGGGGCTCGTACTGGTTCTTTGGGAGCGTCTCCCAGCCTGGCCGGGAGAGAATGGCGCTCCTCCTCCTCCTCCTCCTGCTCCTCCTCCTCCTCCTCCTCCTCCCTACTGGCCGGCCGCGCTGCGTTTAATTTTTCCGCTGGCACCCACCGCACCTGCCTCGCCAGAGCGGCGGAGGTGCCTGCCACCCTACAACTACTTACTCTGCAAAATGACTGCGACGCTCTCCGTGCCACCGAGTGCAGCATGCCAGTCTCGCCCAGCTCCGAGTCGCCGCCATGCAGCGACAGCCACGCCGTGCGACTCGGAGCTGCTGCCGTGGGCAGGGGGCTGCGATCCCGACAGCAGTCCTAGGTCGGGCCTGTCCCCCTACAGGGGATTTGGGGCGAAAAATAAAAAAATCCACGAAAAAATACGCCAAAATTATCAAAAATAGTCCAAACATCGTCCCCAGACTGTTCTTGAATACTCCTCCTGCAGAGGGACACGCCCGACTTAACAGTAGTCTCTCAAGCGGGCGAGGGGGGGGAAGGAAGGCGAGACGTGCAGCAGCTCCGCAGCACCGCGCGCCAGGCCTACTGGCACGGCGGCACGTCGAGTCTCGTTGGCCACACTCAACACAGGAAGTTCGGGGGACGGGGGTGGAGGGAAGGCACAGAGAGAGAGAGAGAGAGAGAGACCGACAGGCAGACGACAAACAACCCGTAAAGTCAGAAGCCCAGCGTGGGCCGCTGCAAAAACAAAAAAAAAGCGCCCAGCGCCCCACGGCCGCGGCGGAGTCCTGCGAATGATCAGCCCTGGGTCAGCTCCGCATCGAGCTCCCCCGCCGGCTCCGACAGCGGGGAGTGGGTCCTCCTGCGCGCGAGGGCGACGAGCGCGGTGGCACCCGCGGCGCAGAGGGCCGCGGCGCCCGCGCCCGCCGCGACGGGCGGGCTGGACGGCGCGGGCACCTCGTGCTCCACAGCCTCGAACTTGCCCTGGGCATCCCAGGCCGCGCGCTTCTCCTTGCAGGAGAGCCCAGAATCGAATCGATAACTCGGATCGGCGATCGAAATGAATCGGATCGGCAGAAATCGGCGGCCGAGTCGGGAAAAGTCGAATCGGCAGATATCGGCAGGCTAGTATGTCTCCAAGAAGAAATCGGAACCCAAATCGGAATCCCAAATCGAATCGAATCGGAATCGGAAACAATCGACATCGAATCGAATCGAATCGGAGGAATCGAAACGAGCCCTGTCCTTGTACGCATCGTTCAGCTGCTTGTGGTACTTCGGGTACTCCCTCGACTTGTAGCTGACGCACTCGTTCATGGTCATCGGCGCCGTCTTGTTCGCGCAGATCCCGACGGCCGCCTTCTTCTTGGTGATCTCGTCGATCTTTGCCTGCCAATCGGTCTGCTCCAGCTCGCGCTCTTCGGGAGTCATCCGCAGAGAGCGCTCGGTCCACTGCTCCTCCCACTTCCCGCACGTGCGACCAATGGTGGCTGGGCTCCAGGGCTTCTCCCCGAGCTCGTTCGCTGCCGCGCGGCAGACCTCCATGGGAAGCTGAGCGCGGCATATCATCGAAAGCTCCGTCTTGCTGTAGGAAGACCTGCCCATGCCCGTCAGCAGCGAGTAGCAGCTCGCGTGCATGGCAGCCATGGCCTCATCGGGGCTTGCGGCAGCCAGGGACGCCAGGGCGAGGAGCCCGAAGGGCCCGCGGGTCATGGAAGGCAGGGTCACGCTCTGGCGGGGCTTGCCTGCGACCTGGCGCACACCGGCTCGAAGCAGAATGGTTGTGAAGCCGGCCGCTCTGCAGGTCATAAACGATGGCTTCTGTGGATGCAGAGGTGGTACGAGAACCACCCTTGGTACAGGTCGGGCCCGCCCCACCACAGGCGGATTTGGGACGGAAAATGAAAGAATACGCAAACAAGAATTCGAAAACTATTCCAAACTACTCAGAAGATCGCCCACAGACTGTTTTTGACTACTTTGGAATGTTCCCCCTGTAGAGGGACAGGCCCGGCTTAACTCTTGGCCCCTCAAACGGTGCAGGAAGCACTCTTGGCCGCTCCCCTGGCAACTACTTTTTGCGAGGATGTCCCGAGCGAGGGCGCCCACTTCGGATTCTGCGCCGGATTCGCCGGATTTGCCAAAAACGATGCAATAAGCGCAATTGTTGGCCTCACTTCCTCGCGCGCCGGGTGTCAGTATGACGTGATTTCCACAACAACTCACTCAAATGACGTGTCCGCTCCATGGGAGGTCTTCGTTCTCACGACAATGAGCTGGAGGAACCACCTCATCCTCGCAAAGAAACCTGGAAATGAAAGGGTCGGAAACTCGGCGAATGATAGTGGCCGTGGCTGGAAAAACTGGCCATGGCTGGAACGAGCCCGAAACAGGCGGGACACGGCGGCCAGGGCTGGAACAGATTGACGAGCACTTGCCAGGGCTGGCTGGAAAACAAATTGTGCACTTGTCAGGGCTGGCTGGAAAACGAAGGGTGCTGGTCCTTCAAAACTGTTCGGCTTTGATGCACTACGGGCTGGGCGGCTACCGCATCCACTAGGTGCAAGGTTTCATTCTCATATCTATACATAGATGTATATATATATATATATATATATACACCGACGTGCTGCGCGCGGCTGGATCTTGGTACGCCCGGCCTTTCCCATGGTGCAAGCATTCCACCCCAGCAGGCTGTGCCACAACGGTCGGTGTGCGTCTGGCCCCCGCTTCTTGTTTGTGCTACGTTGCCTCTTGCCAACCCACAAAATCAGATGTTCTTTGTCGGCTCGATTTTCTCAACTATCCGGCCACCAGACGGCCCTATCGACACGTCAATCCCAGCACGCGCCCTTATCTTGTGCGATGTCGTTGCGATTGTGTTGGTTCCAGTTGTTGTTGGCCCTCCTCTGCAAGTCATTGGTCAGACCCTCTGGTGGCATCCTATCTCAACCAGCCTCCCTGCCCCCCATCCGTAGCCCCTCCTCCCCTCTCCTAGTCGATCGCTGACGAAGAAGAAGCTGAGATCGAGATCTGTGGGCGTGCTTGACGGGCCTCTAAGAGGACTTCGAAGACCTCGGGTGGACCGCAGGATAACGCTCCAAACCTTGGAGACGCGCGACAGCGCATGTGGATGCCGGATTTCCCAAGGGAGCTCCCTGTGGGAGCAGCGTTGGCCCTGAACCTGCCAGCCTCCGCAGGCTGCGAAGCTGCGGCACGGCGCGGCCCTGAGCGCCCTGAACCTGACACTTCCCACGGGCGCCTACAGCTGTGAGCAGGAAGACGCGCTCGGATGGGTGCAAAGGATGGGACTCGGGCCTGGAGGCCATGCAAGAACACCAGTGCTGCGCACCAGGATTTCATACTCGGATCGTTCGTGTCGTTCTCTCCCCCATTCCCGCCCACGTCCACTTCCTCCCCGTCGTGCCCTTCCACCACACCCACTTCCTCACCCCTCTCACTCACTCCAATAATCAATCAACGTATCGTTCCATTCCGCTCGTCCGTCCTTCCCTCAAACTGCCCCTCCCTCTCCACGTCAACACATCCATCCCGCTGCAACCGCGTCTCCCCTCTCTTCCCTCCCATCTCCCCCCTCACTGCCCCCGCCCCCAACCCCTCCCCAATCCCGTTCCCTCATAATCCCCCCAATCACTACTCCCCGCATCCCCCTCCCCTCCTCTCTAAACACATCGCTCCGCCGACCTCCCCAAGGGGCGACACTGTCAGAATCCAGATGCGGAACCAGCCGTGGTTGCGGCGACGTTAGACCAAAACGGCAGAGCACGCCGATGACCCTCCCCACGCCCTCTCTCCTCCTCCCTTCCCCTCCTCCTTACCCCTTTCCCCGAGCCCCTCACCTCTCCGCGGGCTACCCCCTTCCCCCTGCGATCCTCGAGCATCCTGCCCCTCTTCCCCCTCCCCTCTCCTTCTCTCCCTCTTCCCCCCTCCCACGATGTCCCCACCGTCACCCCCTCGCCTCCCGACCCCCCTCCCCGCTCTCCCTCCCCTTCCCACCCGACCTCCCGCCCCCCCTCCGAGCGAGCAAGCGGCGCCGCCGCCTGTCATACCGAAGGCCCCGCCGCCCATGGCCGCGGCGTCGGCGCCGTCCAAGAACGAGGTGCCGCCGCCTTCCCCCCCGAAGGGACGACGTGACGACGCCGAACCGCCACGGGCGCCGCCACGAGCCCGCCGCGCCAGAGCCCGAACCCCGGCCGCAGCCCGAGCCGCCCAAGCCGCAGACGAAGCCGATGCCCAAACCGCTGCCCAAGCCGCAGCCAGAGCCCGACGGACGACGGACGACCGACGGCATGGACAACAGACGACTGCCCCCAATCGGAGGAGGTCGGAGCGGATGGAGGGCAGGGAGGATGGCCTGGAGGGGGAGGGAGGGGGAGGGAGGGGGAAAACGGGGATGGCGGGGCGGCGGGCGGGAGGGTGGCGGGGAAGCGCCCGCCTCCCCGTCTGGGGGGCAGGAGCGGTGTGGGATGCGACAGGGGGGAGAGGTGGTGGAGGAGGGCAAGGCTCGGAGGGGAAAGGGGGGGTAAATGGAGGGGCGGGAGGAAGGACCCAGGAAATGGAAGGAGGGAGAAGGGAAAAAAGGGCGGGGGGGCGGCGGGCGATCGGGGTCGCTGTCTGCCCCTACTAGCGCGGGCTGGGCATGTGATTCCCGATGTTTCCCGACAACAACAAGACGTCTCGGGAAGCAAACGTATTCAGAAATGTGAAACGGAATGTGGATATCCAGGACATGAGTGAAAAGCGACGGCCAGAACTTCTTCACATTGAAACAGCGAGGTCTAAAATTATTTGCGGCACACAAAGAAATCAGTTGCAAATAACGATAAACAAATGTTATAAACCGCCACACTTTTAGACACGCTTCCCTGAACAGAGCACTTGGGAGGCACTTTGCTTTCCTTACCCGCCAAGACCATCAAACAAGTTACCCTGTCCTCCGCAAGCTGGGCAATCGTTGCGGCAGGCGGCAACCACTTCACCGAACGGTGTCACAATCAGGGAGCGCAAGGACATAACATTGCCTGGTTAATTGCGTGATTCCAGAGGGTCACTTATCGCCGATAACGGTGATCATGATACGGTGCGGGCCGAGGATCCCCCGCCCATCCCTCCGGCCAAGCCCCGAAAGATCCCAGAAAACAGATTCAGGGGTGCCTTTTGACCAGAAGTTCGAGGCGGATCCAGCCGCGGCGTCGAGGAGCAACTCTAAAAACCCTGCGCCCGCGATCCTCGATCCCCTCTCCCACTCCTAACAGAAAATATGTCGATCCTTATCCCAAGCTTTGGGTGGGTTTCGAGTGGACCAAACGTTTGGGGCCCAACCCTGGGATATACGATGGGGTGGGCCCCTCCGAATAGCATAGCCTCCTAGGAGTGCATCCCAGATTCCCCGTTTTTTTCTGAGCAGCTCCACTGCTCGTCGACAAGTCGGGGGTGTGGGGGAGACAAATCGCCTGCGAGCTCCCACCCCCGCCATCGGCCTGTGATGCACTGCAGCGACGCAGCGAAGGGGAGCCTCGCGCGCGACGACCTGGCAACCGAGTTGGGCGCCCGAGTTATCTGGGATAACTCGGGCCCGGGGTAACTCGGGTTTGGGTTCCCGAAACACGGACCCGAATTAGCCCTGACCCGAGTTACCCCTGATGATTCGGGGCTCTGGACGCCCGAAATATCCGGGGTAACTCGGGCCCGGGGTAACTCGGGTTCGGAATCCCGAAACACGGACCCGAGTTAGCCCTGACCCGAGTTACCCCTGATGATCCGGGGCTCTGGACGCCCGCACGGCCACCCGCGCGAGAACGCGGGCGCCCACCCGCGGCCTC